GAACCAAAATCCGCCAACGTTGATTCTTTACTGCGGCTGAAATATTCATTTTTAGAGCGTTACTGAATTAAAAAAAAACAGTATAAAAACCGGAATGTCCAACTGATAAGGCTGAAAATTTTTTCACTTGTTATTTGCAGTAAGATAGATACATTCACCAACTTTTATTAAAATAAAACCATTTAAACTGGGTGTTCGGATTGATATGTCACTTAGTATGTATTGTTTTTTGTTTGTCCTGACAGCGTGATATCCCTAGTAGTTCACCCGATTTCCGGCATGGCCATCTGATATATTAGTAAAAGTTATTGTGTTGTTCTAGAGGTTATACAATGTAAACGCCATGTACTGTTTTTAAATTATAGTCTTCATAGTACATACAACGTTATTTCATTGACAATTAAAATAATCTGCGGCTGATTTCCAAGGTAAGTAAGTTTTGGTTGTGGTTTGTAACTTATACGAATAAATTGCTTAAAACAATTTAGTTTCCCCTTTGGAAAAATTTCCAGAATATCTGTGATGTCATCGGAAATATCCCTACTGATGTCATAAATGAGTTACGCCAAAATTGCTCCACTAATCTGGATGAAATTTAGTACATAGATGAATATTTTAGGCTTTTGGATTGATTCGAATTTTTTTATTTCTTACTACTGTAAGAAATAAAAAAAATTAACAAAGTTTTTAAATCCGTTATATTGGATTTTGACACATGGCTATGTGTATTTTATTAATGTTAACTACTGCTACTATGGGAACAGTTTTCATCACGCTACTAAGTGTTTTCGTTAATTTAGTTAATAAAATTCAGCAACAATCTTGCGTACGTTTCTTCTGAAAGTTACAAGAGTACACTTTGCACTAATTTGTCGAAGGACCCAATAGAAGCTGAAGGTTTTTCTCACCTACCTGGTCGTTGAGACGACAATGATTACAGCTCACGTATATATATCAACTTTGAAGTTGAGTCATTAATTTTCAGATAATGATTGTAGAAGGAAGATAAACCAAAATATGTGTGTAAAAATAAAAAAAAAATGTTACCTTCTTTTATAAAGTATCCTCCCGACAAGTATTTCAGTACGGACCTGTATTTGATCGTGCGGTCTTGGAGCACCGGCATGCCGTCCCCTGTGAGGTCTTAAGTCACCTGATTCACGAGCCCTTTGTACTACATTAACAAAGGCACGAGGGGTTGGTTGCACTCGATTGGGAAACCGATCCGCATAAACATGTGCCATTTTTGATTTCGTTTGAGCCACGCAACAGACACCACTATTCACTCACGCGTTACCGACCGACACTGACTGTATACAACTGATCAAAAGAAATGTTTTTTTCCTTTACCATTTTTCTGGTAAAATTAAAGTAACAAAGTTATAGCCCTTTGGAAGTTTGAGTACCGCCCTGTCTCAATAATAATATTATGTGCTCGTGTTTGGCGACAACGGATATAATTCGCCTTATCGGTTCTTCGCATCGGAAACAAAAAAGCGAAAGAATTTGGAACGATGTTTTTACAATTATTTCATTCTGTTGTATACAGTCAGTGTCAGTCGGTAGTAGTTGTACGAACGATAATTACGTAGGATAAATAAAAGGCTGATTATCCTTGTAATTAATTCATCGCGCGTTGGTACGGGTGAAACATCGTACACCAGGCTTTTCATATGTCCCCACACATAGTAATCCATCGGTGTGAGATCTGGGCTTCTTGCTGGCCAGGCAATAGGCCCGCCTCTGCCAATCCATTGATTTGGAAATTTAGAGTCTAAATACGCCCGTACTAATCTACTGTAGTGTGCGGGACAGCCGTCGTGATGGAACCACATATTTTGTCTCGTCGCCAATGGGACGTCTTCCATTAATGGAAACAAGTGATTTTTCAAGAACTCTTCATACACTTCTCCATTTAAATTGGCGGGCAGAAAATGAGGTCCAATATCCATCAATGATGCCCATCCACACATTGACTGAAAACCGGCTCTGAGACCACGTCGGTCTTATTTTTCGGGGGTTTAAAGCTTTTTTATCAGCCCAGTAATGAGCATTATGGTAGTTAGTGATCCTGTCCTTATCAAACTTCGATTCATCGGTCCACAGAATTTTCTTAAAATAGTCTGGATCTTCTGTATCTGCATGTAACATGTACCTGTAAAAATCTAATCGTCTTGCGTGTAGTGATAAGGGTATCATCTTGCAGTATGCACAGTAAACCATACTTTGTATTGTGATATACCCAACTGAGCAGCCACAATGCGCGTAGACGTAGTGGGGTCTTCCTGAAACACACGAAGGATTTCCTCTTCATCTTCAGCAGGATAGACTCTGGGTCGACCAGCATCGCTATGTTGCCTTTGAACACGTCCGGTTTGGCGGATGCGCCGATACACAGAGTCAAACACAGTAACATGAGGTGTTCGGCGATTCGGGAAACGTTGCCGATATTCACGGCGGGCAGCTGCAGAATCGCCGTTACAAAGTCCATAACAGAACATTATGTCTGCGTATTCTTCATTTGTAAAAGATTGCCCGTGCTCGCTATCGCGAGGTCCTGGCGGATCTTCTGCGCCTGCCATGATGATAAAGAAACCGCTCGAAATGAACTGGGAAACTCGAAAATAATAATCGTGCGTAAAACGTGTGCGCGTACGCAGTAGTTGATACCAAGTAAACCTAATTCTCACTCGGCGTGCGGCGATGGCGTAACTACAATGATGAATAATAACAGCTCTCTCTCTCTCACTCACTCCTCCACTAAGTCAGCTCTTCTCGCTCGCTTCCTCGTCGAGCCGATGCCATAAAACAATCATAGCATGCGAGTCCTTTCAGGACAGTAACGACTTGTTCAAACAGGTAATACAAATTCCTTAAAAATCCAGCCTCTGTGGGTGTCATTGTTGTTTCTCTGCATGTACTTCAGATAATTGAACGCTTAATACCTCAAATGAAAGCTTGTTAGATAGAGATATTATTTACATACTTTGCACATTTCATTACTAGGAGATTTTTTACAGAAAATTGCATTTTTTATCGAATAAGTTAGTAGAAAAAAAAGAAAAATACATTTAAACAGCGTAATTTTAAAACATTTGTAGCTTTTCAACATTTTGTTACTTATTATGAACTATTGGAATGTCTGCTATGCGACGATATCAAAAAACTCAGAATCAAGCATGCAGTTTTGTTGTATTTCAATTTTATCCGTCTGAAATCGGAATAAAAAATAAAAAACTTAAAATTCAAATAACTCAAAAATGGTTAACTTTTGGATAAGACATGATAGGACAAAATCGGTTGATTTTAACCTAATCTATCACCCCTTAACAGGAATACGTGACATTACAAGTCACCCTGTATACAGGGTGTCCGCAAAGTTGGGGTTTTCCTTTACACGACGTGTAGATCTTGAAAACATAAGCAATTTTTCTTAGTACCATATACACCAATGTCTTAAGGGAACCGAGATAAAGGGCTCTGCAACATCAAAAATATCTGAATACCGTCCTGTAGCCGCGACATCCCCGAGTGGTACTAGGACACTAGCTCAACCCGACGACAAAACTGGGTCGGGGTCAGTGTGTCAGGTCAGTATGCAACCTTCAACCGACGGTTACGGTCACGCGTGTAGAGGTAATCGCGTAGACAAGAATCTCTCAACAAGCACTAGAGACGTGGCTAGAGAAGTGCAAGTATCAAAAACTAAAGTGTGGCAAACGCTGCGTGAAGAGGGGCTGTATCCGTTTCACGTGCAACTTGTACACGCCCTTCAACCTGACGATTTTCCAGCAAGAGTGCGGTTTTGTGAGTGGTTGTTGCATCAACATGACAATAATCGGGACTTTTTGAAGTGCATATTGGTGACAGACGAATCTATGTTCACGCGCAATGGGGTGCATAACTTTCGCACGCTGTCCGTCGAGCACATTTTTAACAAACATTTTCGATGAATGTTTGGGCTGGCATAGTGAACGGTATGCTCGTTGGACCATTTATTCTCCCAAATCGATTGGACGGGATGCAATACCTAGACTTTTTACGCAACATTTTGCCTTCCTTGTTTGCCTGCGTCTGCTCGGTAGCGCATCAGCTGATTTCATTTTCTGTTAGAGCGGTATGATTTCGGGCAGAGACGTACTTAGCCATTCTCGTCAACTGGAGAGTGAGTACTTTTCACGTGCTGGCCGCCTGACATTCTACAGCAGCGTATGAGGTGTGACCTTGAAGATTATTGGTAGGTCACGCATTTTGTAGTGTGTTGCCCAATAGTACACACAGTTCTGCGGGTAAAACCGCGGGACAAAAGCTAGTATTCTAAATAAAAACATACCTCAATGAATCGTAAACAGGTAAATATAATCTATACATTTTCCAAGCAAATAACCAATCCCCTTTTCAGGACTGGTTTACTTCGACAAGGGACTGAAAAATCCGAAAATAGTATTGGACAACCACGACTATCGCATCTACAGAAAGGAAGTGAACAAAACCGTTTGGAAGTGTTACCAGTATTTCGGAACTAAGAAAGATCGATGCCGGTCGTCATTAGTGACCAGTGGAACAGTGATTCACGTCAGTAAAGATCCTCACAATCATCCTGTCATCAATACGCCTGAAAGGCTGAGGAATATGATGTCGAAGCTTGTAACTATTATTAGAGAATAACTACTTAAGGTATCCTTAATCCCGAGGACGCCTTAAGAGTATCTTGTCCATGTGTGGTGTATTTTTGATTCTATCACTATTATCTGATTTTTCGATTGAATTTTTGTTTTATATTTTCATTATGATCTTGGTATTTGAGAAAACCCTGTCTAGTTCTGTAACGCTGTTTTACTAATAAAAAGTATCATTCTGAGATTTATTTGGAAGTGGGTGTTCCAATGTGTCAATCGAATAACCCCCCCTGTTGTGTTCTCAAGGTAAATGAAGCAACCGGTACATTGTTACTCTTAGTAACAAAGTCTTTTCCAGGCCTCATATACTTCAATTCAGGCATGAAGAACCCGAAAATCATCTTGGACGAACACGAGTTCCTGATTTACAGAAAGGGACCGAACCAGACACAATGGCTCTGCAACAACTACTTCAACAAGAAGCACGATAACGATCGGTGCAAAGTTAGGTTGATCACCTCCGGAAGGGAGGTGCAGATATACGGACGACACACTCATCTGCCCAAGAGACTGGATACCTCCCAACTTCATTCGCAAAGAGTTACTATCGTTAGACACGATAGCTTGAGTTGCTAAATCAGAAACGTTGCAAAACTATGATAAAAATCAATTTTCTTTATAGGTGGCTGAACGCGAATGATGCTTTGTACATTTAGGAAATTTGAAAGACTTGTTATGCTCTTTGCAGTTTTTAAAAAGTAGCGCTAAAAGTACGAATTCAATCACCACCTACAGTATTCACTTTCATCCCGAATACAGACTGAGATTTGGGAGACAAACAAATCGGAGGCTCGCTCCTTCGATTTGGACAGAATTCGTTGTGTAGAATAAATTAATTAAGCATAATTTCCAATCCAGCTTGATCTCACGACTAGAGTTATGGAAATACACGGAAAAAAACGAACTTATACAGGGTGACTTCGAAGTTGAGTCATTTATTTTGACAGTAAGTAGATCTGATCAAAAGAAATGTTTTTTTCCTTTACCATTTTTCTGGTAAAATTAAAGTAACAAAGTTACAGCCCTTTGGAAGTTTGAGTACCGCCCTGTCTCAATAATAATATTATGTGCTCGTGTTTGGCAACAACGGATATGATCCGCCTTATCGGTTCATCGCATCGGAAACAAAAAAGCGAAAGAATTTGGAACGATGTTTTTACAATTATTTTATTCAGTTGTATACAGTCAGTGTCAGTCGGTAACGCGTGAGTGAATAGTGGTGTCTGTTGCGTGGCTCAAACGAAATCAAAAATGGCACATGTTTATGCGGATCGGTTTCCCAATCGAGTGCAACCAAACCCTCGTGCCTTTGTTAATGTAGTACAACGGGCTCGTGAATCAGGTGACTTAAGACCTCACAGGGGACTGCATGCCGGTGCTCCAAGACCTCACGATCAAATACAGGTCCGCACTGAAATACTTGTCGGGAGGATACTTTATAAAACAAGGTAAAAAAAATTTTTATTTTTTATTTTTACACGCATATTTTGGTTTATCTTCCTTCTACAATCATTATCTGAAAATTAATGACTCAACTTCAAAGTCACCCTGTATAAGTTTATAACTTTGTGTGGTTAAAAATACGACATTTTCTTAAAGCTATCAATTCGAGAAGACTTAATCTCGTTTCAAAGATTGTTTACAATTTTTAGGTCTGCTCGTACATACTACTGTTTTGCATACATTTAAAAACATATACTTATGCATGTATAGAATAAAATTTATCTAGTGTTTCACAATTAGAATTTCTGTGCCCATTCCATAATGCTTGAAATTACATTTATGTATTTATCATGAATAATGGTGTATTTAGAGTACATTCATATAGTAAATCATTAAACAATCCTTAGCACAATGATAATTTAATTACTAGAGTGACTTTTACACTCCCAATAAATTGATAGGATGATACGATCTTATTGAATTCCGACTGTTGTAAATAATCACACATATAATGGTCCGTAATATATAAAAAGAATGCAGAACGTATTTTAAGAAAATCTTAGGCGGTTTGAACCCCGCACAACAAAGAAGATAAAATGGAAACACAGCCTGTAGTAAGCTGAAAATCTATTGGACAGTGTCGTATTCTGTCTTTCTATGATTGGGTGTTACCGATATCTGTCGATTGCAGATTTTTTTGATGGATCAAATGCATTCATGTAACACCTGAATCTTATTCTGCCTGATTGCTAAATGAGGCCATATACGTTTGAATTAGTTTTTAATCACGTTATAGTCACCACGGTGGCAAACTACAAATAGCAATGACAGTAATTAATGACAATAAACCGATAGCTTTCTTAATTGAAAATCCCTATTTGTGACAACGGAAATGTAAAAAGCATGTCCTTGAGAATGATCATCAAGGTCATTTGAAGATCAACCGAATTTTAAAACGTCTATTTTAATTTTCTGAATGCAAATTGCTGACAAGTTTTTTCCAAGTATACACTTGTCAATAAGCTTGACTGTGACCTTCAAGGTCATATAAATTTTTAAGTATACTCCTTTCTTTTTGTCGGAGATATATAAAGTGAGACATTCTACGGTCAAGGTCATTATCACGTACTTGACCGTAACATTGACTATGACCTCCAAGGTCATTTGAAGGTAGGATAAATTGTCAAGTCAACTCCTGACCTTTTATCGAGGATATCAAAAAATGAAACATTTCACGGCCAAGGTCATTAGCATGTACTTGAACGGCATTGGCTATGACCTTCAAGGTCATTCGAAAGTCCGATAAATTTTCAAGTAAACCTTACTTTTTGTCGGGGATATAAAAAGCGAAGCATGTTACGGTCAAGGTCATTATCATATACTTGACCGTAACCTTGACCTTCAAGGTCAGATAAGTTTTAATGTAAACATTACTTTTTGTCGGAGATATAAAAAAGCGAAGCATGTCACGGTCAAGGTCATTATCATGTACTTGACCGTAACCTTGACTATGACCTTGAAGGTCTTTTTAAGGTCCTAAAAATTCTCAAGTGAACTCCTTATTTTTTGTCGGGGATATAAAAATGCGAAACATTTCACGGTCAAGGTCATTATCATATGCATGACCTTCAAGCTCATTTGAAGGTCAGATTAATTTTCAAGTATACTCCTTACTTTTTGTCGGGGATATAAAAAAGCGAAGCATGTCACGGTCAAGATCATTATAATGTATTTGACCGTAGCCTTGACTATGACCTTCAAGGTCAGAATAATTTTAAAGTAAACATTACTTTTTGTCGGAGATATAAAAAAGCGAAGCAAGTCACGGTCTAGGTCATTATCATATACTTCACTGCAACCTTGACTATGACCTCCAAGGTTCGATAAATTCTCAAGTAACCTCCTTACTTTTTGTTGGGGGTATAAAAAAGCGAAGCATGTCACGGTTAAGGTCATTATCATGTACTTGACCGTAACCTTGACTATGACCTTCTAATTCATTTTAAGATCCTAAAAATTCCCAAGTAAACTCCTTACTTTTTGTAGGGGACTTAAAATGCGAAACATTTCACGGTCAAGGTCATTATCATATACTTGATAAGCACCTAGACTATGACCTTCAAGCTCATTTGAAGGTCAGATAAATTTTCAAGTAAACCCCTTACTTTTTGTCTGGGATATAAAAAAGCGAAGCATGTCACGGTCAAGGTCATTATCATGTACAGGACCGAAACCTTGACTATGAACCTTCAAGGTCCGATAAATTGTCAAGTAAAATCCTTACTTTTTGTCAGGGATATTAAAAAGCGAAGCATGTCACGGTCAAGGTCATTATCATGTACTTGACCGTAACCTTGACTATGACCTTCAAGGTCAGATAAATTTTAAAGTAAACATTACTTTTTGACAGAGATAAATCAGCGAAGCATGTCACTGTCAAGGTCATTGTCATGTACTTGACCGTAACCTTGACTATAACCTTCAAGGTCAGATAAATTTCAAAGTAGACATTACGTTTTGCCGGAGATATAAAAAAGCGAAGCATGTCACGGTCAAGGTCATTATGATGTACTTGACCGTAACCTTAACTATGACCTTCAAGGTCCGATAAATTCGCAAGTAAACTCCTTACTTTGTGTCGGGTATATAAAAAAGTGAAGCATGTCACGGTCAAGGTCATTATCATTTACTTGACCGTAACCTTGACTATGACCTTCAAGGTCATTTAAAGGTCCGTTACATTTTCGAGTAAACTCACCTTTTGTTGGGGATATAAAAAAGCGAAACATTTCACGGTCAAGGTCATTATCATATACTTGATAGGCACCTTGACTATGACCTTCAAGCTCATTTGAAGGTCAGATACATTTTCAAGTAAACTCCTTAATTTATGTCGGTATATAAAAAATAGAAACAGTTTACGGTCAAGGTCACTCGTATGTCCTTGGCTGTCACCTTCAAGTCATTCGAAGGATAGATTATTTTTTTAACTGGATACTCATAGTCTTGCTTCCAGAACAGTAATTTCTCGTTCCGCTAAATCCTCGATAAGCAAAAAACCTTCAAGGTCGTGATCCAGGTCACGTTCAAGGTCACGCTTAGATAACTTTTTTAAACTTTGCAACGTTGCAACATTTTTCTCCAGCTAGCATATTTTTCAGGATATTTTGTTCTCTCCATACTTTTTGGACGTCCTGGAATGATCTTGAAGGTCATAGCCAAGGTCATGGACAGGAATTTATCTGAAGGTAAAATTTCTCGTTCTTTAAATTTCCGGTGTCAGAAATAGGGGTTTTTATTTAAGAAACCTCTCTTGACCTTCAAATAACGTTGAAGGTCATTGTCAAATCTACGATCAAGGTCACCATGGAGCCCTTAAATGCATTGGCTTGTCAATTTCCAAGCTAAATGTTATCCACCTGTATTTGATCTCTTGTCAACGTGTTTGTTTGGTTTTACGCTATCTTGTTTTCGGATAGGCTTAGAATGTTCGCGTAGCGATTGACAGGTTTGGAGTGTTACCCGCTTTCTCTATTTTTTGTGGGTATTTACTCGATTCAATTGTAGGTCTGATCTACTTCGACGTGGGCATGAAGAACCCCAAAATCATCCTGGACGACCATGAGTTCCTGATCTACAGGAGAGAAGTGAATCAAACCACCTGGATGTGCAACCACTACTTCAACAAGCGCGAAGTCAGATGCAAGGTCAAGCTAATCACAAGCGGTAGGGTCGTGCAGGTGTTCGGCACCCACACTCACAACCCGAAGCATAAAACGGAGAAGTACAAGAATATGCTGTCGCAAAACGTCACCATTGTTAGGCACTGAAAGCATCGTTTATAGTATAAAGTATTCATCCGTATAACATTACAATTATTATTATTACAATTTTGTGAAGGTATGAGTGAACGAATTATAAACGATGAACATTTTCTATTCAACATTTGCTTTTCCGACGAATGTTCCTTATCATCCTTATCATAACTTTTTTGTGCTACCCTGTATACAACAACTGACCGAAAAATCTTATTTTCTCGTATCTTCACGACAAAAAAGGGTGACTTGTTAGAAGTGTCTGAAGCTGATAGTTTTCGAGATATTTGTTTTTAAAAGTTCCAATTCATTATTTGTACCATGATGATTAAACATTTTTATAACATAGTCAAATATCTCAGCGCCAAATGATCGCATCGAGATATTAAAAGCGGCTATCGTTTTTTGTTTTGATTATGTATGTATTTGTGGTGTAATTTAGATTTAAGTTGTACCATATATTATGTCATCAATGATGGTTGTAATTTTAAACTGATTTTAAATTAGTTTGATTGTACTATTCAAAATACTGTATAATTATATCAACTTGAAACTGTATTCAGCTTACAGTATTTTATTTTTAAAACAAAAAGCGCACTAGTGTTATAAAATAAAACATATCTAGATTTAATCGAAAAAAAATAACGATTTATTTAGTATTTTGTGGTAAAGTGCGAATTGATGAAGGAACCTTCTTTTTTATATGTAGAGCCAACCTATGATCAACTGACTGCCAAACCTGTCACAAGATTTTGAATATGCTTAAAGTGCGCCTTGAAAAATAATTACTCCTTACAATATCAATAAAGAAATACCTGCAACGTCGAAATCGCCTTTCAGAACGAGAAGAAACATCAATAAACGTGCAACATCAAATGTACAGATCACAATACAAAATACTGATCCATTATTTACATGTTATTTCCATAACTATCGGGTAAAATAAAATTTAAAACGTAAGATGGCGGTTGCTAAAAACAGCAGCTCGTCCAACGTCGAAATATTTTCATTCTAGGAAGCGATTAATAGAAAAGAGAGAGAAATACAGTAGACAAAAAAAATAAGGGAGCAAGAAAAACTCCAAAATTTTCGGTGATTTTTGGCAGGTTTCATTTCGGTAAAAAATGGTCGTATTTAAACTTATTAAAAGCATTTTGAGGCGTTAAGATTCTAGTTTTCAGTTCTCTTTTCAAAAAACTTTTCCTTGCGACAACTGTTAGAATTGAATGAGAATAATTGCTTAAATTATTCGGATAGAAACCTTAAAACTAGAATCTTTAATCCAAATGCTTTTTTCAAAATCATGATACTTCCATTTTTCACCAAAATGCAGCACCAAAAATTTTGGATTATAAATTTTTTTGAGTAGTATCTTTTTCGAGAGCTGAATTGATTTCGGCGCACTTTCTAGTACCTCTTTAGGCTCTCAATGGTTTTGGCGATAATCACAAATAAACTGGTGTTTTGTCAACCGTCGTTTTGTAGGTCTGATCTATTTTGACATGGGCATCAAAAATCCGAAAATAATGCTAGACGACCACGACTACAGATTGTACAGGAAGTTACCGGGAAAAACTGTGTGGCTGTGCAGCCACTATTACATCAACGAGAAAGAATTTAGGTGTAAAAATAGGATAGAAACCAGTGGAAGGGTTGCTTACGTCAAAGGGATACATAATCATCAACCCAGACCGAGAAAGGATAAATATAAGAATATGTTGTCACAAATGGTCACCATCGTACGTCAACCATGAGGTTGTGTATCACAAATCTGTACATATATCGTTGTTAAAAAATAGTTTTTTCTTACTACCAAGGGATACTTAATCATCAACCCTGAGCTAGGAAGGATAAATATAAGAATATGTTGTCACAAATGGTCACTATCGTATACCAACCATGAGCTTGTGTATCACAAATCTGTTACATGTATCGTTATTAAGAAAATTGTTTTCTCTTACTACCAAGGGATAAAGTATCATCAACCCAGAGCTAGGAAGGATAAATATGAGAATATGTGGTCACAAATGGTCACTATCGTATCACAAATCTGTACATGTATCGTTATTAAGATAATATTTTTTTTTTACTACCAAGGGATACTTAATCATCAACCCAGACCTAGGAAGGATAAAAATAAGAATATGGTGTCACAAATGGTCACTATCGTGCGTCAATCATGAGGTTGTGTATCACAAATCTGTTACATGTATCGTCATTAAGAAAATGGTTTTCTTTTACTACCAAGGGATACAGTATCATCAACCTAGAGCTAGGAAGGATAAATATAAGAATATGTTGTCACAAATGGTCACTATCATACGTCAACCATGAGCTTGTGTATCACAAATCTCTACATATATCGTTGTTAAAATATAGTTTTTTCTTACTTCCAAGGGATACTTAATCATCAACTCAGAACTAGCAAGGATACATATAAGAATACGTGGTCACAAATGGTCACTATCGTACGTCAATCATGAGGTTGTGTATCACAAATCTGTACATGTATCGTTGTTAAAAAAATAGTTTTTTCTTACTACCAAGGGATACTTAATCATCAACCCAGAGCTAGGAAGGATAAATATGAGAATATCTTGTCACAAATGGTCGCTATCGTACGTCAAGCATGAGCTTGGGCATTACAAATCTGCACATATATCGTTGTTAAAAAATAGTTTTTTCTTACTACCAAGGGATACTTAATCATCAACCCAGAGCTAGGAAGGATAAATATGAGAATATCTTGTCACAAATGGTCACTATCGTACGTCAACCATGAGCGTATCACAAATCTGTTCATGTATCGTTATTAAGAAAATGGTTTTCTTTTACTACCAAGGAATACCTACTTAATCATCAACCCAGACCTAGGAAGGATAAATATAAGAATGTGTTGTCACAAATGGTCACTATCGTACGTCAACCATGAGCGTATCACAAATCTGTTCATGTATCGTTATTAAGAAAATGGTTTTCTTTTACTACCAAGGGATAAATTATCAACAACCCAGACCTAGGAAGGATAAATATAAAAATATGTTGTCACAAATGGTCACTATCGTACATCAACCATGAGGCTGTGTATCACAAATCTGTACATATATCGTTGTTAAGACCATAGTCTTTTTCTTACTAACAACCTGAAAAATCCGCGTTATTGACCACATTTCTCCCTAAGGTAAATAAAAAGGGCACTCATAGATCTTTTCAAGGTCTTCGTATGCAAGTCCCCCCTTTGCCTGGACCTTTATTTAAACTCAAAGACATACGTTTTTTAGTTATGTCTTACCGCCGTGAAAATGTTCTCGTTAACGTACGATCTATATTTATGCTTATAGGATACATATCAGTTTGAAAATAGGCTAAAAGATATTTCAAACTATTTGTAAAATAATTTGAAAACGTCATGGTCATGATATGAAATCACATATTTTGTGTTAGTAATAAATAATACATACAAATTTTTGTACGAATTGAGATACGCATATCCTCTATTTTTTCCATTTGGCTCTAACAACTTAAAAAATAAATATTATTGCGATCCGGAACGATAACCGAAACATCATTCTTACTCGATAAATAAAACACTGCTTTATTTGCATCTCATATTTCTTAGATATTTATCATTAAAAGAACATTATTTAATAAATTTTCTTTTCAAAGTTTTCTGTTTACAGTCAGGATATACCTGCCTGTGGTCTTATTATTTCATTTAATTCTTATATTTTTGAGTTGCCTAGTGTCGTTTCAGGCGTGATCTACTTCGACGTTGGCCTGAAAAACCCAAAAATAATTTTGAACGGTTTCGACTACCTGTTCTATCGACGCACCCCAGGCAAGACTAATTGGCTTTGCAGTCACTATTATAGGAAGAACTGCTGCAAGGTCAAAGTGATCACGTGTGGTAAGGAAGCTGTCATCGACGGAGAACACAATCATCAGCCCAACTTCAAAAATAGGTTCTCCAATTTGCGATCTCAGAACGTCATTGTCAGGGTGCTTGAGAAATAGCTACATATGCAGATATAGTTTTACTCTCGGTTGGGTCAAGTTTTCTAGCATTAGCTTTTCGCGGTTTGGGTCAAACTTTAGGTTTATATAAGCTCACGTTCTGGTCAACTTGAGAATTTTAAAAGAAATCATAATTTTTAAGCCCTCGAATTTTATGTTCTGTGATGACCTTGATAGGTTTCAAGGTCAACTTCGAAATATTAAATGTAATTCGTTTCTTTTCAACGACACCAATGAATAAAACGAAAAATAAGACCGTGATTTATGATTCACAGGATGGATTTTGACCTTGAAGTGATTTGACCCTTCAATCGCTCTTAGCTCAAAGTCATTTCAGAACGCCTTTTTCATCTGCGGGGTCATAAATGTACCATTTCCTATTATAGATTCATCTCTAACTGACCTTGGAGGGCAAGGTCATTATCGGAACGTAAAATTTTCATTCCATTTAACATTGTCAAGTTGACCTCTAGGAGACGTTGAAGGTCATTTTCAAGATCATTTGTTATCTATACAATATCTACGAGAATTATTCTTGGAGTATAATATAATGTACTTAATTTAATGAGGTTACTTGATTTCGTAATATTATATAGTATATAAGTACGTATCAAGAGCTATTATAATCCGTTATCAAACATTGTGGAAAAACGGATTCATATCAGAGTGAAAAGAATGGCGTTAGTCTACTTCATGCGACACATACGTGGGGTATCGGAAACTTTTTTTTTCACCGTATTGTATATAACTACAAATAGTAGTATATAGGGTGTTTCAGTTTATTGTTGCATAACTTTAAGATTCGATAGAACTTTTAAAATTAATGCATAAAGGTCAAAAGGAACTAAATTTCGTGCATTCACAATTGCAAAAAAACGTTTCAGGTTTCAACAGACAATAAAACTAACTGTCAACTAATTGACGTTTAACCTTATACTGCTTTCAATTTCAAAAATATTTGCAGGCACAGCCTACTTCTAAAAATTATCGAGATACTGACTTTTTAACGTTATTTTATCATGAATAATTAAAAATGCATCGAACCTTAAAAATCGATAATATCTCAAAAACGGCTAACTATAACGAAAAGTCACAGGAGAGCTTTTTTATGCAGAAAAGTGCGAAGAATCAGTTTTTTTATTCAAAAATAAAAAAATTGCACTAAGAAAATTTTTTCGGTCATTTTAATACACTACAGGTACAGTAGAGAGCGCCCTCTACCAGCTACAGTAAAACTATGCTCATGGTTCGTTTTGTCGTACCAAAAAACCCTTGTATACCAATTTTCACTGTTATACATCAAATATTGTTCGAAGTATTTAAAAAAAACTATTTTAGAAAGTAAATTTAAACACCCTGTATTTCGGAAGCCACGCATTTTTCGACCCATGTTTATATAGACTTTATGCATTAATTTTAAAAGTTCTATCGAATCTTAAAGTTATGCAACAATAAACTGAAACACCCTGTATAGAAGATAAATGCCTTGGTTATGGCTATAGAATCCTCAAGAGGTAATCCTAAATATTATATAATTATATTTAATAAATATCTACTATATGTCAAGGAGTTATTTATGTCTAACACGTAATTTCTAGCTACTAACGCAGACTCTCTAGTAGTCATCCGTACAAATTGAAGAAAAAATGTTGCATAACCGCGAACTGCTTGATCTGGTTAAGTACCAATGACCGTTCGGTAATACTTACGAGTGCAGTCCGATAAGTACTTTGCTCACCGCCCGATGGCAAGAGAAACTTACTATTGTGTAGTACATGCTCGCTGACGGTTACCGTACAAATTTTTGCCTAATCCGACTAGTTTTGTTTTGATCGTGCGTTTTGCATTTGGAAGGGAAATCGCGCAGCGAAACCAAATAGCGCTTGGATGATGCGTACGGTAACTCGCCTCCTTGACGTGGTCGTATGCAGTGTTGCCAGAGCCCACATTGAAAATTCCGCTATTAATATCGAAAAACTCCGCTACCCGGGGGGTTATCGCCGGGGGGGGGGGGGGATTTGCATCATAAAACAGGGGGCATGTAGTATACAGGTTGTGTCAAAAAAGAAAAACTAAAACCAAACAGCGTGATAAAATATAACATAAGAAACTGTAATAAAAAAAAACATTTAACTATAAAAACCAATACAATATTACAAATAACTGTCAAACAACAGAACATTTATCACGCAGTCATATTAAAAAAATATCACAGGAAACAAAATAACAAAAAGCATATGACTAAAGGCCATTTCTGTTTTGCATTAAAAAAATTAAAAAATTAAACTCAGTCACTGTCTGTATCAGATTCTTCTTGTTGCAATTATGTTCTCTCTATACTATATAAATTATTTTTGTATTTTTTTAAATGTTTTTCACCAAACTCGAAGTCTAAGCAGCAACATTTTTATGTACTGTATCCAGTTTGATAAGTATCGCGAGCAAAGTTGAAGGTAAAATACGATTCCTTTTCTTTGTTTTGATTATCTCCATATATGAGAATGTCCACTCGACACCTGCATTACCATGTGGCAAATATTAAAATTATTAGACAGACTTTGGAAATACACTTCACAGGTTTTGTTCCATGTATACGTGTCTCCATTGAATAAGAATTACCGACCGGTGGTTACCACTGTCGATTGGAAAGATATCTGTATTTAGATTTAGTTACTAACTGCACTCAATTTTTTTTGCTGGTAAAAATATCCATCATGCGTACCTAAATTGCAAAATTCCGCTACTTTTAACAAAAATCCAACTCCGCCGCTACGCCGCTACCACTTTAAAATTCCGCTACCATTAGCGGAATTCCGCTACTTTTGGCAACACTGGTCGTATGTCGCTTCACGATAAGCCACGCCCAGGTGCTCCGAAAACGCCTATCGCGGTATCGCGGAGCGTAACGTG